CTTGAGACACACAGGAACCACACATTGTGTCAAGGATCGATTAAAAATTTCAGTCCATACCCCAGCTAACTGATCAGCACAATCTTTTACCACGCGACCAGGAATTGAGTCGGGCCCAGCTGACTTTCTGGAATTAACCACCTTCATTGTCTGCCTCACATCCTGCTCATTCACAATGAAGGGGAGGCTCTGCTGAGTAAATGATGGCAAAGGGACAGTTTCAGTTTGATGGATCTCAAATCGAGCAAAAAAGTTGTTCAATTCCTCAACCACTGCCACACTACCATCCGAAGAAACCTTTTTTGCTTTATAGTTCGTTAGTTGTTGAACCCCCTGCCAAACCTGCCTCATGTTATTACTGAGAAAGCAATCTTCAATTCTCCTCTTATATTTGGCCTTAGCTTGCTTAATGCCTCTCCTTAAGTTCGTTCTTGCAGCACTATAATCTAGATCATTCCCAGACTTAAAAGCCTTATTTCTTGCGTACAGCAAGCGTCTAACCTTCCCGGTCATCCAAGGTTTTTGATTAGGATAAACCCGGATTCGTTTATCCACCATGACAGTATCAATACAGTGTGCCATATACCCTAACACCGCAGCCGTGTGATCGTCAAGATCAGGATAATCAAAAACTTCCCAGTTTGTCTGTTCGAAGCAGTCCTTTAGCTGCTCCATAGCTCCCTCTGGCCAGCTTTTCACCGTCTTGACTACTGACCCTGCCTGCTTTCTCAGAGGAATATACTCCGGGGCTAAAAGCAGGTAAATTGTAAATTGCAAATTTGTAAATTGCCTTGTGAAAAAATGTTAATTCCACAACCAAAATGCATTTTAGACAACAGAAGCCAATTCTTTTCTTAAAGGGTATGCTTAATGCTATTTTAAAGAAGCAATCCTAACCAAACTCACCATAAAAAAGTATAATGCATCTCTGCTCACAATTAAGCATAATACACAGACTCTATCCTATGTTTCATTCTCTGGAGAAAAGGAAATTAATCTATGTGTTTAATACTAAAATATACCAAATACAGCTGCAAATCATTCAGTGAGAAATGAATTAGCTATATTTATGCATTGTGATAAATTCATCATATTTTTAAAATCAGATAAAAGCTATAGTAATAAAAGTAAGAGAATGTATTTAATAAGTTGTATATTTTTTAAAAAAAATAAGTCAATGGAATTTTCTGATTTGGGGCAATAAGAGTGATGCATTCAAAATGGTCAGTCTATACAATACTTAAGCTCCTGTGTCTGTAACCTTTAACTGGCTGCAATACTTTTTGAACTAGGGCTAACTTAACATAATGTCTCCAACATCTGGACTCATGACTCTTGAGAGATTACATTTGGCAAATTGGTGATCATTTCAATGCTGTTGTTGCACTGCCACTCAGAGGTTCAGTAGACCATTTTCCACCTTAGCACTCCAGAGGCTAGGTAGACATTGGTTGCTGGAGAACAATCAGCTATAGTGAAGCTAGCAGGAACTTGGAATTTGCGCCCATTCCCACTGGTAATTCTGTTTCTGTCTAGATAAGGAAACACCTAAGAAACAATGATCCTGCAACTCACAGGTTGTCTAGTAACGCCTTAATATTATGACATTTCAAATATCTGAAAACGATATAATTTCATTATATTATATCTTACAGTTTTATGTTGATATAGATATATGAAATATATAAATATATAATCTTATTCATCTAATTCTGAATGTAAGGAAAAAGAATGAGAAAAAATTTCCAAGATAAATTGTAGGAGATAAAATGCCAGGAATAACTAATTCTGCAGCTTGGTACCACTCATTAATACCTGTAGGCTGATTCTACTGAATTACTGGGATTTCAATACAAAATAAATGTGATGCATTGATCAGCATATACAGTTTTTGAATGGCATACTGCACCACAAAGTTCAAAACATAGAGACATATCAAGGTATATCTGCTTCCTTGTCCATGTATCAGATTGGGAAGTACACACTGGATATCTTTGCATTAAAGTGAGAAGCAAATAAAATTTTCCCGTCCTTATTTAAAAGACCCTTAAAGAAAAGGCACACAACCATAGTACATACTGATCATGCCACACTGAATATAATACACTGATAACATGATTTAAGAAGGAGGGATGTCAGATTTTATAATGTTAACAGTTGAGTTTAACCATTCTTTTGGAAGTGACAGACTAAAGCATTCCTAGTTAGAGAGGAAATGATATTGCCTTTGGTTCCAACTGAATGCCACATATGCCACTGTCAGAGGGCCAAAAAGACACCTGGTTACACAGACAAGAGATGCCAGAAAGATAATATCAGACAGATGAACTAGTGGTCCATCCAACGCAATAGTCACTGCACTGAAATTGACTGAAATGGCAGACTTAAACAAATTTTAGAGTATTTTTATTAGCTTAATATTAAGTATCACAGCACAATTTGGTTATATTCTATTAACAAATAGCTTGCTTATGCTCCAAGCAGTTTTGAGCAGATGTAACTCTTTATTCTGAACCAACAAACAGCTCTTTCTTGGCAGATAAAATATAATTGAATCAACAGAGTTTATTTCTTAAACTCTAGTTTACTAATATTGCTGAAATTCATGCTATTTTGCTATTTCTTGTTTCTATTGACCCTCATGAATAATCTTATATGTTGTCTATTTCTAATTAAGTTTTACTTGTTCAGGAAATTAAAACCAAATTACAGATAAATTTACTAAGCAAGCAACATTAATGGATAGTCATATGGTGTTTGGGGGAAAAAAAATCTCATTTTCTTTTAATTTCCTGAACCATTGTATATCTACTTCCTTAGTCTCCTGACACAAAGCGTAGGTATTCTCCCTGCTCCTACCAGTGAATTAATTCTAGAACACAATTTTCAATTTTTAATGTATAATAAAAAATAACACATTTTTCTCTAAAAAATGAGATATTCATATGGAAAGAGTTTTCCTCCTGATACTTTGTCTTATTATTACAGTTACTCCTTTACTATGAAGAATCACAAGGGTTCCTGGTAGAAGATATAATTTAAAATTAGATCTTATATATAATCTGAGCCACAATGCAATACATAAACCAAAAACATAACTACAGAGGTAATCTAGTTTTGGCTTGTTTCAATTTTTTAGCAGCATGATTCCATGTACATTTTGGCAGGCATAAAATGCATTAATTGTAATGGAATTTAGAATTTGATTGATTTGTTTGATGTCTGCTTTAAATGAAAGTTGTTAAGCATGAATTGTTTCAGAAACACTCATCAGAGGGCACATACTGGATTAGGTGGAGATTTCCAGTAGAGGTCACCATTGCTTTAACCACAAAGTAGACAAGGATATTATTTTTATGTTGTTGTTTTTTTTAAAAGAAAACATGATATGGGAGAGTTACATTCCACAAGATTGGGCTAACATTATATGATCAAGGCTGTTTTTCATTCTTTCTATGCATATTAGCTTTTGATTGCTAAGCAAAAATGTTTAGTAATTACAATATGGCCACAAGGCAACAAAATTAAATGATTTAATTGTAATAGATGAATCTCTTTTCTAGAACTTGTAAAAGTGTATATTACACTCAGAAGATAAATCTTTAAATATACCTAATTGCAAGTGAAATCTAAACAATAGTACTAATATGTATTCAGATCCACATATGAGTTTAATTTCAGCAACAATGTAATCATATATTTTCTATTCATACAGAAGCTACACCGTCTAACAGATTAAAGCAAATAAAATTAATGACTTCTTTTCAAATTAGAGTTGCTACTTGTAGTCATATAATAACTTGGTGAAAGCACAAAATAGTAGAAGCACCAAAATTGGTGCTGTCCCTTTAGGGCAAGTTCTCTGCATTTCTCAGGTTTTGAACAATTATTATAGTCCTTTGAAAAGGATTGTATTGCTCAACAATGTTTCCAGATGTTCCCCAGATCTTTTAGCAATGATTTAGACATCTAACATTAAGACCAGATCCAAGTAAGTTGCCATTTGCTCATTATCATCCCTCTGTCATGAGAATGAAATAAGACTTGTAAGCTTTATTTCAAGAAGATTTCTATGGATCCCAATGACATGATTCTCATGGTCATTCAAAGTATATAAGGAAGTTTCATAAATCCACAAAAGTTTATTATAATATATATTAGTTAGTTATGCCTACACTAAAAGCATCATAATAACAAGGCAACTGTAAGTTATCCACAAAAGTGAAGTTCTCACAAAGAAAGCACATTTTAACAACCAAAAGTTCAAGGGTAGTTATGTGCTCAGCTGGACTAAGATATTAGACTACATGATTAGTTTAACTAATATAGTTTTCAACTTTCCAAGCAGTGAGTTTGGAAAATCAGGCTGGCAAGCAACTATTTATAAATTATCTGTGCATATTTCAGACTGGACAGGGAAACAGGATGTCCACTGGATACATTTTTAAAAAATCCAAAAATCCATAGGGAATAATAGGAAATGAGAATAGCTACTGACATAATAACCAAGATTTAGTCAACATAAGCCACAAGTTAGTTACAGTAAAAGTAAAGCAAAGTGGATCTTCAGATGCCATGGAATGGGTCACAGCTAGGAACAGCAATAATTTATACTGCTTTTCTTATTGTTGGTTTTAAAATGGTTGCAAAATTTGTAATCTTTTCTTATTCACAATATTACACGCATGTGTGCTTTAATTTGTTCACTGATTGACAAAAATGCTGATATTGCACACTGATAATGACCAACACTAGGAAATAGCTATAAGGTTTATGATCAATCTCCCCCCCCCCCACCCCGCCACCCAAGTTAGGTTAGGCCCCTTATTTGTGAAACTTCTAAGCTACTTTCAGCATCAAAATTTACCCTGAAAGGGCACCAGAAATAGTATTGTTTCATTTCTACTCCACCCTGTGGCCTTTCCATCCTCTGGCATAATTTCAGTGGATCCCTATTATTGTCAATAGCCATGCTCAGCTCCCAGTGATCTCCTACAGACCTTCATATGATGGCTTTCCTCTTTTCCAGTGGATGTTCTTGTCCTTCATTTGATACATCCTTTGGGAGGGAAAAAAAACCATAAACTTCCGACAGGCTACAGAAACAGAGAAACTTCTCTCAATTGATCGCACCTCTTTCCTCCCTGTCTGGCGTTTCTCTTCTAAAAATACAGCTTGATCATCAAACAAGACACAGCGAGCAGCGCCCTCACTTTCCATCCTTTCGCTAGGCAGAGAAGCAGACAGTTTTGGGGCGGGGGCGGGAGAACCTGACTGCAGAAATGCAATCCGACTAGTGTCTGTCGGGTGATTAAAAAGTAGAAAGGCCTGGGGGGGCGGGGGGGGGGGTTGGGGGGCAGAGCTCGCTCCCACTGAAAACAAAGGTAAAGCCCCTAAAGGGCCAGAGCTGCTTATCCGAGTCCACGTCCAGATGTCTTCCTGGAGATGTTACAGGAGACGGACTTCCCCGCCGGCAGACACAAGATCTTCCACCAAAATGTTGGGTCTAATCAGTGGCAGCAGCCAACAGAACCGGCCGCTTGAAGTTGGCTGGTGCCCCACTACAAAGCCACCGCGAAGATTTTTCAGCCCTGGAGCCTAAGGAAAGAAATCCCGGAATCCGCTACTCCCGCCAGGGCGCCCGGTCCCCGGACTTTCTCCCTCGCAACGCCGGCGGGCTCACTTACCTCAGCGCTGCGGCCGCGGGCAGGTGGAGAGAGACCCCCTAGGGGCTGCTGTTGCCGCCGGACGCGCCGTTGCCCAGCCCGCCGGGAATCCTGAGGCGCCTTGCTCCGTGGCCACTTTCCCGACGCACCCCAGCCATTCACTTTCACACGGCCGCCGCAGCCTCATTCGGAACTCGCTCCGCTCTGCCTGGGTCCTAGCGCCATAAAACGCGCGTCCGGGGAGCTTCGCGGACTCGCCCGGCTGCCGAACGGAAAGGCCCCGACGGGGAGCTTCTCTGACCTCGTGAGGAAAGCTTTGGTCCGCCGCCCGCCGCTTTCCCCCTTGCTCGGCGGGGCTTCCTTGCTTCGCTCCGGAGGCACGCGCTCAAACCCCGTCTCCTGAGGAAGATTAGTGGAAATGTGAGCCACGACTCCGGAGCCTTCCAATTTCTGAGCGAGGGAGGAGGCTGGACCCCCGGAGAACCTCCCGCCCCCTGCCATCCCCAGCCGGCCAGCGGGCGGGTCTTTGGCATTGGCCTGATGTGAAGCGCAGTTCAAGGGCGCTTTGAAAGAAAGTCCGAAGTTTTGTCTCCCCCTCGGCCATCTCTGATTCAAGGGACCGGTTAGGAGTCGAAGCAGCGCCTAACGAAGCGCGGAACGACCCAGTTAGGAACGCCAGGCTTTCATGGAACGCCGGGTCGGCGGGAGTCACGTCGAAGGACGCCGGTCTCGAGGAGGCTCGAGCGGCAGGGAATTCGGCTGTTTTGTTTTTTTTAAGTGGCGATTGGGCGAAAAGCAAAAACTCGCCAGTAGAGACTAAATAATGACTCGGCAAATCGACTGAATCAAATCGAGGGCGAAAAGCGCTTTTGGAAGTTCCTGCGTTTTGAACCGAAATCCAACTGAATGGAATTTCGACATGGTCCGGTAGTCTTACGCATAACTTCCCAACCGGTTTCCAGACGAGTAACAGTCTTATAGTCTTGCGATCAAGACACGTTTTGACACTGCAGCGAACCCTGCAGCTACTTTGTAGCTTGGCCTGTTGTTCAAATCAAACCAATGTTCGCTAGTATATAGCGTGAAAGGCTTGTGGCATCCCAAAGAGCAAAGCTGTGGATCACAGTTGACTTCAGGAAATACACGGAACATTAACCTGAGGTGCCGTCAACCATGACCTGGATGACTGAGATGACAGACATTAACCTGAGAGATATACCCATTCTTGGAGGGGAGGGGAAATAGGGGGACAGTGAAGTAGGGAAATGCTGAGACTTCAGAGGAAAATCAGCATCTCAGTCTTGCATCAAAGAATGCAAAGAGTGCTCTTTAAAAACCAGTTCAAAGGCCAGAGTGTATTACAATAGCAAATTATGTGATACCATTAACAAAGCAGTCTATGATTCCTTCATGTAATAATAAAGTATTGGCAAAACTGATGAAGAGAACACCCCTTTACCATTCCATATAGGCTGCTGGATGCTCTTTAGGTCTGGTGCAGCTTTTTCCAAAAAGGATGCCTTGCAAAGGTATAGACCTCAGGTCCCTGAATTCTTAGGCCAGCAGAGCTATTGCTTGATTCACCTGGTAGCACCAGGATGAGGGAAGGCTGACCTATTTGCCATTGAAAATCTCAATCTCCCCCATGTCTTTGATAATACAGGGCTACCAGATTATTACAAGGTAAGGACCAGGCCAGTGGTGACAGTCATCAAGTAGATTTACAACATTGATGTCTAGGGATTCTCTGGATTGTCAAATGTTATCTCTCTTGCATGGAGCATTTTTTGGTTAGCTTTTCAGTTTGATTTATATATTAAATAAATTTATATGGCTGGCCAGGTCACCCACAGTAACTATTGTTGCATCAACTATACCAAAAGATGTTTAATATTAACTGAGCTGTCTCTCCTTTCATATGTTACATCTCCAGAATATCTTCTTTTACAAATTTCTTGTATGACAACTATAGAGTAAATAGAAGGATAATGTTGAAATGCTGTGGAAATGATCCATAATACAAGTAATGGACAGTTGACATGTAATAATAAGTATTAGGTGCAAATACCAAAATAGATATTAGATGTGCAAACAGAAGAAATAGTATATAAGGTAATCTTGACTAGAACAAAATAGATCATGAATGCTTAGAGCAGACAGCTCTCAGCTCCCAAGCACAAATATTCATAATATAATTTAATATTTCTGATTCCATCCAGCAGAGGGCAGAATTTTGAGATATGGACCATCCTTGTTAACTCAGACTACAAAAGATAATTTAGGGTTCAGCATGTATCTTCTTATCAAAGAGTAAATTGAACTAAGTGGAATTGCCTTCCTTTTCTCCCTGATATGAGTGCTGATGATAATGTTATATACAGTAATTACAAATTTAAGCTTTATTTCTATTGATTCCTGTTCCTACACTTTCCTACATGTCACTTGTATCTTCTCTCCACCAATAATACACAACTGTAAAGTTACAATATGATTATGCATTGTTTTATGCAAAACTTTGGAATGAATTATTAAGTGACTGGGTTTGCAATCAAGCAGGGAGAAAATATTACTTGTCAGGACATGCCAAAGCCAACTGGTTTCCTTTTTTGATAAATTATCAATTTAGTTAACCAAGGAATGTGGTAGACATAATACTCTTCATTGGAGCATTTAATAAAATCTAGTAGAAAACCTACTAGGAAACCTAGTAGAAGAAGATATAAGTTGTAGTGGGCTGTGCTAGGAACAACTCCATCATCATGCAATTATCTTGGCAACATTATCAAAAGAGGTTTGCCATTAGCTTCTTCCTATGGCTGAGAGAATGTCACTGGCCCAAAATCACCCAGCACATAATCTCTCAGTTTCTACCTAATGCCTTTAACTACTACATCAAACTGGGTCTCATCACCTCAGAGACTAATACATTTTTCACCATATAAACTTCCATATATGATAATGTTGGACTTTAAGCTTTTATAAGCCTTTTCTGTTTTTATTGTAGAAGATGAAAAAGTCTCCCATTCCAGAAGCTCATAAATTGCTAATCCTTATGTGAATGCTGCATATATTTTTAGCTAGCAAGTGTTTTGACAGCTTGAGTGGACTACTAGTTCTAAGGGGTGGTGCCAATAGGCTTCCAAGTCCAATCAAACATGCTTGGACCACTTCCTCCAGGTAGAATTTGCCCAGTCTGTGTTACCATATAAGGAGTAAATGCTTACTACAGTACTTTACCTATGAGGTGTCAAGGGGACATAGGCCCAGAGACAGTCCTTCTACAGGGCCCACTGCTATAGTATACCTTCTCTTTGCTACTAGTCTTTTGTAAGGCAATCGAGACAGTACTTTTGAATGTGGGAGTTCTTTATGATTGGCTGGCCATATTTATTTATATTTGTATGGTTTTTGATGAATTGTTCATATAGTTGCTTCAACTAGGCGGCATAAGAATAATAACCTCAATCCTCCATTTTAATACACTCCATCTTGTCAATCTGTCATTGTTATATTGTTTTATTCATTCAGCCTCGTATTAAAATTCCTGCCATATAAGTTCAATATGCACACAGCTTAACTGGCATAATCAAAGTATCAGTTCTCTCACTTTTTTAAAATAACAGGTTACAATCCAGTCAAGACCATATTTAATAATACTCTGAATGGATGAATCCAGTTCCTTGGTAAGACAATGTATTTCCCTTCATAAAAGAAAATAGCACTGGAGTTATATATTTTCCATTGATAGTGCTACTATGCATTAATAAATGCATAGAGAAAAAAATCTGATAATATTTGAAATGAAATAGTGGTCATCTTTCATTGTTTTTAATTGGAATGACCTCAAAACAATTAGCAAGCAAAGTATTCATTGACCTAGATAAACTATAATTGTAGTTTTCAAACATACAAAGGCCTGGAGCCACATAGGTCCTTGGTAGCAACAACTGATTGTCACTTAGCTACTGACTGTCATTTATGGTGATGCAGCTCAGAACTGATCACTCTTTCAAATATAAACCACATTGGGAAAACAGACATAAATCAGCAACAGAAAGATGAAAGACCTGAAAGTTGCATTGCCTGTCCTTTAAATTTCAAGATGGCTGTTAAAATCCAGGGATAGCCAAATATTCTATACAATTGTAAAAATTTGAGTATAGCAGATTTGAAATCAGTACTCCTTTTGGGAAGGGAATGGGAGGGAGGGAGGGAGGCAGGTTGTATAACCTGCAAAGATCAATAATCCAGGGTTCACAGTTGTGTTGCAATTATACAGACCACAGAATAACATTCCTAAATGCTTCTTTCTAATACTTTCCTTTAACATTTACCAGTTCAGCTGATCTCATTAGTATTCCATTATGCAAGTTTCTGGCAGGCTAATCGTGACAAATGTTGTTCTGCTCTTTATTCTCTGTGCGGAACAATTTGGTTATTAAATTGTTATTTTAATTAATAGGAAAAAATCCTCAAGAAGGATGTATAAGGACTGTTCTTTCAAGACAATTAGTTTAAGAAGTTACACTGCCCATTGGAAGTGCAGGATAGGTGTCTTACAATGGTGATACATCAGCTGAATTTGCCATTTGAATATTCTTCATTTGTCTATTGTTATATGCTCTGCAGGGTCTGAAGGACAGAATTGGTATCAGGTATCAAATGGATGTCTCTTTCATTGACGTTCGCTGCTTGAATTCCATACAATCTTTCAAGAAACCTTTTTTTGCTGACGATTGTTCACTCCTGGTACACAAAGACAGTGATCTATAGTTGATAATGAAACAATTCTCAGATGCTCTTGTGCTCTTCAACCTGACTATCATCCTGAATGAGACTAAAGTACTTTACCAGCCCATGCCAAGTAACAGGCCCATAGAATGATAATTCACTGATGACACCCAGCTGACAAATTAGACAACTTCAAATACTTGGGAAATGAGGACTTTTTGGACAAAAACATTGACCTGAGAATCAGCAAGACCAGCCAGGTGCTGAGGCAGCTGAGAACTAGAGTGCTGGGTCAATACAACATTCATATCTTCATAAAACTGAAAGTCTTCAGAGTTATCCTTCTCTCCTAAATGGAAGTGAGTCCTGAACTTTGCACCAAAGACACATCAAACAACTGGAGAAATTTCAAGCAGGATCATGTCTCCAACCTGGAGGTCTCAGAGTGGGTAGAGTCTATGATAACAGAGTTTGCAAGAGTGTCTGGGATTATAATCTCATTTTTAGGATGATATTTGTTCTGCAATCTGAAGAAGTTCCAATAAACAACTCAGCCTTAACCTGCACACACAAACACACACACTTTACATTTTCTCTCCCAATTAATCAACCATAAATTAATAAACGTATATATTCTCTTTTCTTATGTCAATATTACCTATGTCCAAAGCAGTGTTGTTGACATCTG